CGACAAAGTCGAAGTGGGAGGTCTCCCTATGTTCATATCCACATTGCAGCCAAGTCGGAATGGTTTTTCGTCCCCATCCAGTGGGTGGACACTGAAAAATCCTATCCCAGGAGTCGCAAGGGGTGCCGAACTTGGAGGAAGTCGGGGTTCCCAGAACATCCACTCACTTAGGGAGTAAAAACCACCCCGTCTTGTGACTCCTGGTCCTCCAAGTTTCTTTCACCCCGACGTGGAATTGCTGGTTGTCGGGGTGTTGGAACTGCAGGTGCCCACGGAGAGCAGGGTCCTTCAGACTTCCGTCAGAGCTGTGGTATGGTGCAGAATTCAGATTTACTCTCCTAAGACAAGACTTCCGTTGTGACTCATGAACTACCCCACCTGGTAGTCATTACACTCTGACTCACTAACATGGAAATGGAAAATTCATTCTGGCAGGACTCGTTTCCTGAACAAACAGGTGGAAAACCCACGTCGGAACGTGAGTCGGAGGGTCCCTCCTGGAGGGTATACAACGATCCACCGCCTGTCTTCGGAACATGATGAACATGTGTCATGACTGGACTTCCCGCACCTTCCAGTGCCTTGACCGAGACCTCTTCCGTTGGTTGGTCCCTCTCTGGGTCCCATGACCGATCGGCCGCCGGATCTGTGGTGCAGGTCGCCAGGCCGCGCGTGCCGTTGGCGGCGACCCCAAAGAGGGGGCAGCGTGGGAGGGGAGAACCTTTGCAGCTGAGAGGTGAAAGCCTCCAGATTCCTGGCCCCCACCATTGATGGAAATAGCCTGATAAGAACCACAACCCTAGGAGTCACAGAGCTCCTACCGCCGAACGAAGGGAGGAAGGAGTATAGGCAGTATAGGTGCATGATCCACTCCACTCACTGGATGGGACGAAGAAAACCACCCCTTTGTAACTCCTGGACCATTCTTTGACGATTTTGCACCACAACCTTTTTGTCTTTTACTGGTGGCTCAGGAAGGTGGAAGAGTCGAAGATTGGGTCCGCGCATGGGGTCCCAGCTTATGGGGTCCCGAGGGGTCTCCCAATGGGTCGCAGCTTTGCACTTGTTCAATGATCTAGCGCCCTGAGGAACCCAACCTCCCACCGAGGCAGAGGTTGGACTTGACATCCCCAGGTCCCACATCCGAGGGTCCAACGGATCAACCAAGGTTCCCCCCGGTTTGGACCCCTCGGACCCCATTCGCCAATTCAAGTTGTTTTACACTTCCATCAGTGGAGTACCTATTCAACGTCTCCTCTGGCAAAGGTTCCCGCTTCAATCTGCCCCAGAGTTTGGCCTCTGGACCTTTGGCCGCCGAGGCCTAAACCCAAATCAGCTGCCTCTCACGTTCTTGCACATCTGCTGATGTGGTGCCCAACTGCTACAAATCGACCATTGTTCTTCCGTTTGCGATCGAGAAGTCATTTCTGAAAAGCCAGTTCTCCATGCCGAATCTCTTTATGGATCGATCAACTGAAGTACTGTGTCAGCGGGTTCTATGACAGGGGACAATTGTAGTTCCAGTTTCTTGATGAGCTTCCACACCAGTGCCCCCCGTTCCCTTTGCTTGAATGTAAAAAAAGAGACGAAAAAAGACGCCTATGGGCCTATATCATCCTATATCCGCCCCAGTGACGACGTCGACCAGTCAACCTGTTTCGCTTTGCAACGTGGACCCTCCGAAAACCGCCGGCCGGCATGCTGTATACGGAGTTGGACCAGTCAAATGTTTGGAGCTTTCTTCGTCTGACTCCCTCTGTTTCCCTGGAATGTTCAAGCGAACTTTCCACCTGTTCTGATTGATTCAGAAGGGTGTCCACCTGTTCTTTCCCCCTGTTCAAGCTGACTTGCAGGTGATCCCTAGTCCAGTCCACTGCTGGGCGTTCCGTCCACTGCAGACCAACAACTCGTGAGTGCCATGAAAAATCTTGGGCAGAGGAGAAAAAAAGGGATCAGGACATTCTTCCGAATCCGTCCCTCCCTTTTGACTGACGAAGCCTGTTGGATCAGCTTTTGACTGACGCACAGGTCCAATGAGGAAGGCCCGATTTGTTCTTGAGGATCAAAAACAGCTTTTGTGTGGCCTTCCTCAACAGGTGGTTGATCCCTTTTTGGTGCTTGAATGCAGTTCTTCTCTTCAGCTCGGACCGGCCCAATATCGGAGCCTTCTCTCTCTGTGAGACAGGATTTTCGGTGTTCGCCCGCGCACCCCGAAAATGCGGCGCTGATGCATTCAAGTGTTCAGGGCTCACCGCTGGAAAAAAAAAACTCGATGCCGCTGTGTACTTCGGGAACATGAGAAGAAACACAGAGAGTTCGGATGTGATGCTCACGAATTCTCTCAATGTTCCGTTCCGGTGCTCAATCTTGTTTCAGCGTTAGAAATCTGCAGAGGAGACCACAATGTCAGAGGCCGTGTCGTCCTCAGGCTCCGCAAAAAAAACAGGCTCGATTTTGATGGACGCAGAACCCGTGTCAATCACTGCTTGTGTTCGAAGGGTTTGGAATCGAAACACGCAGGGGAAGGGGGGGATCAATGGCGCAACTCCAATCATTCAAGGTAGAAGACATTGGCATCTGTCACTCAAAATCTCTCCTGCTTCATCGTCCCTGTCATGGTACTGACCTAGGCCGCAAAAAACAGCACAACGAATGCAGGCCACAGCGGACTCGCACCAAAAATTCATGGTCCAACCCTGCATGAAGGTGCATATGATTTGGGTATATCATGGTATATCCTATTCCCAGGTACCAGGCCTGGACCTCAAAAAGAGTGATTGGCTTGTGAAACCGGGTCCTGTTACAGGTAAGAACCGACAGACCCAACGGCATATGATGTTCGTTTCGCTCGGGATGACTTCGATCGATGTGAGAGCGCTGTGAGTGGAGTGCGGCGTGGAGCGTGGTGGCCGCATGGGGCCCGACATGACGTGGTGGCAATCTTCAACAGAAAGACGGCCAGAAGAAACCCCAGCCAAGGTAGAATCCAGTGTGGCCTTCTGGGGGTTCCAACAGGTGCCTTCGTCAAGCTGCGTCTGAAGTTCGAAAACCGACAAGAGCTCCGATGAAAAGCACTTCGATCGTTGTAGTTTAAAAAAAAAAAAAACGTGCAGCAAGTCGCATTCCCTTCTTCTTCGAAAAAAAGAAGAACAAACACATCCAGGAGTCACATGGAGGGCCTGGGTGGGTTGGTTCGTCCCATCCAGGGGTGGTGGATGTGACAGAGGGGGCACCGGTACTCCTTGCTCCTTTCTATGCGAACAGAACGACTGCCCTCTTTGGTCTTTTTTGTTGCGCTTCATCTTGAGAGGGTTTAAGCTCCTGGCCTTACTACTAGGAGCAAGCACCACTACTAGGGGCTCCTGGCATCGCTACTAGGAGCAAGGATGCTACGAGAGGGTTTAAGGATGTTTCAGGTGCAACCTGTGGCTCTCGGTGCTGTTCTTTTTGTGTCTTTTTGTGGTGAGAGGTGCGCCTTCTCCTGTGTCGGGTGGAGTGAAGCGTCTTCTGCGTTCAGTGGCCACAACACTGGAAGCAGCACATTCACCCCTCCCACCGTTCCAAAAACACCCGGAACAGCTATGATCAGGCTGAGCACCTGCACCGATGTCCTATCTCCGAAGTGCGCACAGCCCTTCTATACTTAAAGTGAGAAGACGCCGCTATCGCGATCTCGGGAAGAACAGATTTGTGATCATCGAAAATGCTTAAACCAGGAGTCACAAAGGTGCGGTTTCTAGTCCCAGCCAGTGAGTGGGTAATGGGGACCCCCGACTTCCTCCGTTCATTCGGCGCCCCAGAGCTCTGTGACTCTGGAATAGCCTTTGCTTGATGTGATGGCAAAATCCACAGGCTTGAAGCTAACAAAGTGTCTGAGGGCCAGGAATCTCGTCCTTCCTTCGCAACTAATGTGATGTGTATTATATAATAGGCCTGTTAGGTGCACCAAATTGTTCAGTCTTGTCGTTAGTTCAATCATGTCGTCCCAATGTCTCAAAGGACAACTTGAGGTGGCTGTTCTTTCGCGCCACTCTGAGAGCTACATGTAACAACCTTGCTACTAAAGAAGCCCTTAAAAAGTCGTCACAAGTACTACCTTGCCTCAAACTGCGCATGGAAGTGGACAATCCATATAGGATAAGCAGGTTCTTTCCAGGGAGGGGCCATGCCATCCACTTAACCATGATTGAAAGGAGGGCAACCATCTTGGATGAACTAAGCTAATGTCAGTTCCTGACCAAACAATACCCTACTTTCAACGGACCTCCAGTGCCACACCACACGGAGTCCTCCTTTTGTGCCACCTCCTTCAGTCCTCCTTTTGTGCCATGCGGAACCACCTCCTTTCCGCCCCAGTGACCGCGGCAGCCACCTCCTTCTGCTCTTTGGCCAACTCGGCGCCCAAGGCCCTCGTGTCCACTCCATCACCCCCGTGCTTCCTTGGCGCCGCCACCGGCGAGCGAGCTCCGGCGAGCTCGCTCCCGCCGAGAGTCGGGCTCTGATGAACGGTCTGTCGCATCCAGCTACGGCGGTGCGGCCGATCCGGCTTGCGCTTTCCGTTCGGCTTTGGACCACCAACGCCCCCCCCAGCGTCGTCTGAGCCCTGCTCGGCCGGCCTCACGGACGCATGGAAGACCCCAGTCTCCCAGTGGCCGTCGGTGGCTCCAGTCGTGGCGTCCAGACGCTCGTCCCACGTCGCCAGTCCAACGTTGGCCCCGACGTGGTTGGGCCCTCCGAGCGGAACATCCACATGACGCGACGCTCGGAGTAGGAAAGCTCATTCTTCACAGGCGTCTTACGTGATCTGCCTAGCACTTCCTGTCTGCCCTGGAGTAGGAGACCTATTTACGTAGGGTAGGGTAGTCCAGCCAGGACACCCAGACTGGATGATCCTGGTGTCAGTCTAATGTTTCCTTTCATCTTGCTATCACCTACCAGCACCTTCATGTCGGGGTCACCTGGCTGGAAGCCCCTACACTACTAAGGGACCTCCAGCCAGGACATCCCGTGAAGGTCCAGGTACCCAGACTTGCCAGGTCCCGGGTCGGTGTTTGACCAGAATGACCGGTGGCGGCACTTCGAAGACAGTCCCAACAGGCGAGCGACGTTCGTTCGAAGACAGGTTCCGCAATGCAGTCACCGAATCATGTGTGTTGAAAGTTGGAATCGGCTGGGTCTCGTTTTAAGGACATCACTTCAACATAAACAGATCTCGTTTAGAAGGAAACAAGCTCTTCTGCTGGGCTTCAAGTCTTCCTCATTGTCCATGGCAATGGCAGAAGCTGGGTCCTGAACGAGGATCCAAACACCATGAGACCATGTCTATCCGCCACCCGTCATACAAACTCTTGGGAGATGTGACCCCCAAAAAATGGATTCAAATGGGGTGTGCCCTGCAAAAGAGACTTGAAAGAACAAAAAATCCCACAACTCTGCTCACAATGTCCACCAAAATCATCCCAAACTCCCGAACCTCACTGCACGGCTGCAAGAACCCACCCAGAACGCGGGAAACACAGTTCGGAAACACACCTAACTCGTTGGAGGAACCAAGAAGGACCCAATCTGCAAGCATCCTGAATACAATGCCTAGTCGCCTAGTTACATAAAAGTGCCACATGTGAGTCATGTGAGTACCAAACTCAAGGATCCGCACCTCACTTGCTAAGCTCGTTCAAGCTTCCAAGGCCCAATGTTTGGGCTGCTTACTTCGCCGCACAGGGAATAGAGACACTCTGGCCGCATTGGTAGACCAGTCTATGTTGCTTCACCCAACCCCGAGGATGGCGGAGGTTTCCCTTTATTTATGTCGCTACAAAGCCATCCAACTGTGAGCCCGGGAGTAGGCCCCCATTGAGTACACCCCTCTTCCAGATGTTCCGGAGCTCCGCCGCTTGCCCGAGCTCCACCGCAGCCGCGGTGCTGACGCGCAGACGGCGCGCGCTCACGGCGCCTCTGGCGCGCTTCGCTACCCCGTCCTTGTAGCGACGGAAGCGGCGGGAGATCTCCGAGACTTGCTTCTCCAAGAGGCCTGGCCCGTTTTGCGCGTGGCCGGGCGAAGAAGGAGGGGGGCGGCGAGGTTAGGCATTCCAAGAGGATGGATACTGTACCAGTGGTAGAGTAGATGGCACACTTCTCACTCAAGTTCGGTGGATTATTTGGACCCCCCATATGAAAGACCTCGTTGTGTTGGTGCCATCTATTCTAGAACCACTGTGATACTGTGATGGATAAAAGTGGACTAATATGGATCTAGGTTCCCAACCCTGAGAGCTGAGGCGAGGTGGCCTCAAACCGGATTTGTTTTGAAAAAGAACAGAAACTAGACAATCGCAAAGATGCCGCCCCATTAACCCCCGTTTCATCCCTTTTCAACCACCCCATGTATGTAAATATGCCAGTCCCATGGATTCTTTGGAAAGCATCGATGCTGCTCTTGCTTGGCCACCACCGAGACCTATACATAGACCTGCCACCACCGAGCTGTCGCTGTGGCGAGACAAGCACATGCAAGTACCAGCACCAACAGTCGAAACATGTGCAGAGGACTGTTCAGAAAGTCCACGGGGATGGGGACGACCATCCAAAACAGCTCAAGTGGGACGACCATCTGCAGTGAATATGAGTCGAAAGAGTTCACGGCTGGCGTCAAAGCAGAGCAAATCTCCTCATGGCAGAGAGCAGAGAGTAGATTCCCAAAAGGTGCAACGACAGCTCAACTTCTGTGCGCAACTCCCAACCAGGGCGAAGCACAGCCTTTGCAGGAAAAAACCTGCGAAATCTCAATGTCTCACACTGCACGTTCGGTCTCAAAGATGCTCAAATTCACGGGTCAATGTCTTGCCATGCTCCTGTGTCCATCTATTTAGAAGGTGGGCCCTCCATCTATTCCTGTGCCACCCCACGGGCGATTCTAGGAACTGGGTTGCCTTCACCCCCCCAAAAAAAAAACAAACAACCCCCTTGCATCATCGGAAGCATGTTTTTATCACTAAGATCTCTCCCAAAACACCTCCGTTGGTCGAAGAAGAACGTCCAGATCCGAGGAAAAACGACGGCACCTTCAGAGCCCAAGGGCGACAAAGGCAGGGCCAAGACGTTCAGCAGTGCACGATAGGCCTGGCGCCCCACGTGCGTCTGGTCCAAACATGGACAGGTTTGGGAAAGGATTCAATGACTGGAACATATATGGAACATGTTTGGTGATTCCTGCCATCAAGAAGATATGAAATCTACAACCCAAAAAGGATTAAGAAACCCATCTACTTGGTCTTTCGCGCACATCTTTTTTCAGACCCCCAACTGATCGGACAATATGCTCAAATATCAAGGTCCCATGGAGTAGCTGCGCATAGCTGCAGCGCTCTGAGTGTCTGTTTTCTTCTCTCCCGATGAGGCAATCAAACCCCTGTTTTGATGCTAGTAGTAACAAGTGCATCGCTTCTAGTAACAAGTGCCTTACTAGTAGTAACAAGAAGCTAGTAGAAACAATAAGCAGGTCCCCTGAAAGTCTCAAAGGGCCCACACCCCCGCGAGCCCAGGGGTTCACAGACCCGCGACATCGGTCGGCCCGGTTCGCCAGAGCTGCAGTGTTCCACGGATTGCCCGGTTTCAAAGGATGAAGTCTGGAATGTTCCGAGGAGAGGGAGAGGAGCACCTCCATCCCACTGAGCACATCCATTTCACTCACTCACTCTCTCCTTTGGTGTTGCCAGGAAGGAAACACAGCCGAACACAGCCCGGCTTGCTAACGCCAACAAATGCCAACAATACCAAAGCATCAAAAGCCAGTCACTCAGACGCTCATGGACCCTCACATCCCTCTACTATATGTCCGAAGGGCTGTTGAGGGACGTTTTCAAGCGTCTGAGCGAGCTGAACACAGCACGTACCACTCGATCACCCGCTATCACCGCTGTCTCGCCGCGTCGCATCCCATCACTAGGTCAGACTGCACCGGCGCCTTGGCCAGTGTGGGGCCACTCTCGGGACCCAGTCCTTCCCCAAGGCCTTGCATTTCCTCGGGTCGCCGCGCGGCGGCCGTTTCTAGGCCACGAGGCCCGGCGACGAGGCGTCAGGTCCCGCAACACCCGGAGGATCCTCCGGTCGAAACGACGAGACCGCAGTGATGGTCGAAACACGGTGCCACCGCGTGGTGAGTCTCGCGGGGGTGGGTGAACAAGGGGTGGCTGGTGCCCTGAAAGGGTCGGTGGGAGGTTTGCTACCAAAGGTTGTTCAGCATCCACTTGGTCAGACCTGGGTGATCTTTTCGATGTCAAAGTCGTCTAATTCATCAGTTTAGTTCCTCTGACCACTGGTTGGTCAGCATCGTTGGTGTTTTCTCTGAGCTCGAGGACTCTGAAGGAAAGACCAACTTCCACCCCAGGTGCCCCCATGTCCCAAAGCCAAGTCACCAATTCCTTGTAGAACTCTGCACTGGGGAACTCGAATCCTGGCGAGATGAGCCATGTCGAGTCCAAGACTGGGAGACCGGGAGACCCCTTTCGAAAGCCCCGGTTGGGTAGACATGGTCTATAAGTCTATGTTATACCCAGACACTCCATGGGACTGGCATAGGACTGCCGATCAATTGACCCCAGGTCAACCACCCCTGGCCTGATCGGCAGTCCTATGGCAGTCCCATGGAGTGTCGTGTCTGGGAGATGTTCTTTCAAACCCACGGGCTCCGTTCACGCCGCGGGTCGGTCTTCCTATGAGGTCGCAACACACCATGCCCATCTGTCATGTCCCATCTGAAGAGGGAGCTTCCCTCGCTACAGCATGTCTGCTTCACGTCGCACCGTGGCACCGGGGCACCTGTATCAGCACTCACCGTCACAATCTCCAAGTGTTTCTCTTCCGCTCCCTCTTCCACCTCCTTGCCAGCACCTGGATGCCGAAGAATGCGACGCGACTTTCCGGTGTATTCGCGACTTCCACGGCCTCCCGGTCAAACATAGACTCATAGATATGTTATACTCCCGGTCGTTTATAAGTCTATGTTATACTCCGGGTGATTTCGTCCCTGGTCAAACCCTCTCTGGTCGATCACCCGTCACTACCGTCAGTCACTCTGGGACGGCGACCGGTGCTCAGCAGGATTTGCGCGAAGCGTGGATCGCGGAGCATTCCGCGAGAGAACAGCACCACGAAGTAGTGAGCATAAGGCTTATGTGCCAATAACTCCTGGCGTCGGTTGAAAGGCTCACAAGTCATTAATATCAACCAACAGAGGTTGAGAAACCCGAAAAAGACTATCCCATAGGCCCATAGGTATCCCAGTAGGGTCCTGTAAGGTCACTTGACCTCTCATGGAAGACATTTAGTCAGCTGCTGAATGCTGGGTTCGGGCCGGCACTGAATTCGCTTGGCTTTGAACCATTGGCACACCGCCCAATGATCTGGGCAAAATGATGCTCTACACGTCTTAGGAGATTCGTCTACACGTCTTGGAGTTGACATACCCAGATTCACACGGTGCAGAGGCCTCGGTCCGTACGTTTGCTCTGCCCGTGGCCCGTTCGGGAGGGGGGTTCGCATCTTCGTCGGCCTGAAAACACTGTGCACTTCATCGGGTTTCCGGTCGAAACAGTGCAAATCATGTAAGTGGGCGGCCCTGGGTTCGGCTTGTTCTGCTCAGTGAGAAAGCAATGAACCATGACATGTTGCTTCCCAAGGACCACCCACGCAAGCATTCCAGGTTTGGGTGCATGACTAAGGGAGAATAACTCCCCAGTTAGTGGCCTGTCCAAGAAAAAGGCTCAATGAAGGCGAGCAAACAGCACATACACCATGAACGCAAATGGCCAAATTTACAGGCAGAGAGGCACACAGAATGCTTCGTTTCAACTTTCAACCGTCCCCAAAGCCAAAAAGCACTAGCAAGCAGCATACCCATGCAGCGGTTCACACCTTGAGGTTCAGGGGTTCCAATTGTACCATAGGGATCTATAGGGGTCCAGGTACCCCGGTACTTCGGATGGTCCAAAGGGAGGTGAGTGGCACGTCCGATGCCACAGATGCTCCTGAAACCGGGAATCGGACACCAAGTTGACCCAAAAACGCTGCCGCCCGCCGAACCCGGTTTGCCCCCAAGACGACGCTGATCTCGACATCCACGTCCCAAGGCTAGCCGCTAACGCTGATCTCGCCGTGTCTCCTTGGAGGATCGGACCATGGCACACTCCACGCGCAAGTGATTCTGCACCAGGATTTGGAAGACTTCCAACGTCGCCAATGCCTGGCAGGGGGGTGCTCTCAGCTCTCCTCCCAATACCTGGCAGGTGGGGGGTCACCCACTCTCCTCCCAATGCCTGGCAGGGGTCACCCGCTCTCCTCCCAACGCCAGTGCCTGAACTCGGACCTGTCTGAGGTGTTCGACGTGTTTTCCCTTTCAAGGCGGAGGGAACGAGGAGCAACCCAGACCGGTGAGGTGTGCGATGCCAAACACGAGGAGTCTGGGACTGGTATAGGACTGCCGATCAATTGACCCCAGGTCAGCCACCCCAATGGGGCCGTCAAGATGCCAGTCCCAAGCAGGTCGTGTCTGGGATACATGATCCAGTGCAACCCGCAGAGCCGGTCGGTGCAGAGCCCGTCAGAGCCGTGCCTCGGCATCCGTCACAGAGCCCGTGATGAGAATGCGGGCTTTCACTTTGCCGCCGGTCGGTGCATTGGAGCCTCGGAGACGAGACGGGAACTGAAGACCCTTCATGAAGTGCAAGTGGCTAGTGCAGCTAGTTATGGCATTCTTAGAAACAAAAATATTGTTTAAAAAATGGAAGGCCTACTAGCTAGATACGACCTGCCCCAAGGACCACGGAAGAAGCTTGACGATCCACATGTCTGACATTCGTTGTCTGCGTCATTCTTTAGCAAATGAAATCGAACTCCACTGGGTCGCTTCACATCGTTCTTCATCTCAGGACTACCAAGGACCGTTTGAAAGTATTGATTGCACTACTATGGGATTTGGGTTTGGCTCAAATGATCAGACCTGTAGAATGAACAGTGACTCGAGGTGTTGGTTTATTTGTCCGCGATTTGCGCCATGGCCGGTCAGCCGGACGTCCATGGCCAGGAATGGCTTCTTCTTTGGGAGCTGCTCATTTCCTCCAAACTGCCCTTCACCAAAAGGAAAATGGATCTGCCAATCAACTGCGGTTCCTGTAGAACCTCCTCCACCAAACTTCTCGGGTCCGCTCGGGTCCTCACGCTCGCTGCACTCGCCACACTCGTGCACGCGCGCGACGTGCAGGCTCGTCTCGTTTCCGCCCAGCGACGGAAGACCTTCATGGCCACTTTGGCCCTCTGAACAATCTCGACCACCACGTCCTCCCGCGCCCCGGGACCGCTTACGAAGAAGGGACCGCGCATCGGTTCCGGCCACGGACAATCAGGGGCTTGGGTGAAGATGTACATCAACCAGGACCCTCCGTTTGAGGTGTCTATAACCTCTTCTTGCGGCGGTGTCCAAAAACCACTGGGCGAAAGCGCCCGGTCCTGGAAGGAGATTGGTGGAAGGCTTGAACATTCTGATTCAGAGACTTTTGGAGCGGACACCGGTTGGTCTTTGAACACGCACGGAACCGCTCATCATGGCGCAGAACCGCTCCCAGGGAAAGGCGGAGTTCTTCAGAATCGAAGTGCAGAAGTCCAACGCAGGTGGCAGGTCATCTCTTACAGCAAAAGCAACGGCGTTCAATGCAAAAATGATCGAACATGGAGATCCTGAAGGGCGGGGCCAACCGGCCAACCTGGAGAAAGTTCGAGGAAACGGTTCATGACGGAAACGACTTCAGTCTCTCCTCGAGACGCCAGCTAATGTAGACTCTTGATTAATGGCGCCCCCCCATATGAAGAGCTAGGATATCCCATTCAATTGGGGGGGTGATTGATCAAGACTCTGTCTCTTTTTTTCACTGATTCTGGAAAACCTGAACAAAATCTATGACTAACTCAGAGGCCCTTCTCTTAGAAGTTGTGGTGGAAGCATCTCTTCGTCCCGGTCTCCTCTCGCTGCTGCTGGGGGCCGAAGCGCGACAGCGTCAGGGGCGACAACTCGTCACGCACCCAAACGTAGGCCTCGGGGCACGGCACAGCATGCGCGGGCGAACAGCACGCCCGCGGCACACGAGGCCGAAAGAAGAGGAAGAAGAAGAAGAAGGAGAAGAAAAATTGCCTCCGCGTGCCCCACGCAGAAAGAGACGAGGAGAAGAAATCCAAGCGCTTTTGGGCTCCAGCATTGATGCAAGGAGTCAAGACGTCTGACTTACTTCGACCAAGACCTCTGTGCAGCTTCAGGCAGCTTCCGCATTCCGCTATTGCTCGAATCGAATGGGTGTTGATTCAGGTACCTAACCCATGGGCTTGGTGCCTCTGTGTTGGCAAAGCTTGTTTCAGAAATTTTCAGAATACTGCTATGGAAGATCAACACCTTTCATATGCATTCGTCCTTCTTCATGCCTATGAGGAGAGAGTAGGTCGTGCAGTGGATGCAGGCCACAAAAGATACTACACTCCCTGACGTCATTCAAATGGCTAAACCTGTTTTGGTTTGGTATTCGGCGGAAAATGGTCCTCGAACCGCTTCCATGAGTTCTAAACAGGGAGTCTAAACAGCACAAAAGCTTCTTGAAACCTCCATGCCCCGCTCAGACACCCCCAAAACCTCCGCCCCACCTGCTTCACGTCGTCCATGGTGATGCCATAGTTTGCCAAGATCTGCTTTTGCCTTGGCGAAAGAGGGCTCCATGTTCCAGCATGTTCCATCAACCTTTCCGTCCAAACCCAGCAATTCAGCAGTCTACAAGTATGACAGGTAAACTGCTTGCAAGATCTTCCACTGTTCTGGCAAACACCCTATATAAGGAATGAGTACCACTTGCAAACGCAAAAACAGTTGCCACAAAAAAGGAAACCATCGAGCAAACACCTTCCAATTCTACTATGATATCTTCTCTCAAGATTCTCAATCATCACTGGAAACCAAACTATACCGACCAAAAACCTCATTGTCTCTGATTCTCTCAATATATCTCTCTTTCCTTCCCCAACACCCAAAACGTCCCCTCCTCGCTCGCGCTCCACCGCTCTCGGAACCCGCCCGAGCGGCTGCGCCGTCCAGACATCGGGGATCGCCTCCAAGGTCTCCGCGGTGAGCGGCACGAAGCCGTCGCAGATCAACGGCACCGTGGTCACCTGCCGACCGAATTCCCGGCCACCGGGGTGGACCAAGACCGCGGGGAGAGCGCGGTACGGATTGGTTGCGCGGAAGGTGATGTCCAAACTCCATGGGTTGATTTGGAGATGCAAGAGGATCGGTGATTTTCGGTATCCAAGAGTTTTCACCTAAGGAGACTCCAGTGCGCACGTGGGGGGCCGTAACACCAGGTGTTGAGAAATGACCGACAGCTCCCCACTAGAATCCGATCAAAGCCCTGCTGCATGCTGGCCCTCAGGTTCAGCTCTCGACTGGTCGATCGGACTCAGCAACTTGGCCATTGAAAAGGCTGCCATGCTGATGCTGTCGAACTCGTCACCTGAAGTCATGAAGCTTCACAGGGACCGCATCTCCCAGCCTTGTTCTTGAAAGCCGTGACAATCTCTCCTGCGCCTCAGGACGGACGGAAGATGGAACCCCCAAGCTCAGTTGGGGCTCCCCCTGCTCAGCAGAACGAACTGACACAAAACCCCAACAAGACCCATGGCGGGAACCGAAGGAAGACCCTCAAATCCAACGAACATCGCTTGTGAAACGGTTTCCACTTCGAATCCCAAACCCTGCGGCCTCCGACCTCGCTCGGCCGGCGTGGCGCACCCGAAACTACGACCCGAGCCCGGTGCCGAAGGTCCGCGCGGTGCAGCCCGGTGCCCGGATGGCCGTGCCGCCGAGAAGCACCACATCCGCTTCAGCAGCTCTGGGGTCAAGACGATCACCACGCTCCTCAGATCGAATGGAGCATGCACTCGCGCATGCCTCCGCTCCGCTGGAAGGAACTCCGCGGAGCATGCGAAACAGATCTCCGCGTGTCCCCAGACACGACCGATGTCTGTCATAGATGTCGATCAGTTGACCCCTCTGGCACCACCCCAATGTAGGTGAATATGCCAGTTCCATGGAGTGTCTGGGTTGGATGGTTTTGTTTTTTTGCGAGAAGAAGGATCGGAAGACAACACGTGACGAGACCACACGCGACCGAGAGCAGCATGCATTTGGAAATCGCAGATGGCCAGTCTGGCTGTCCAGTCTATGGACAGTGTCTGAAGACCTCTATATAATGCCCGATCAACTCGCCATCCCAATTCCTTCTATAATGTAAATATATATATATA